TCACAAAGGCCACATCTCTCCCTTAACATGGTGCAAAGGTCATGAAAGTTTCGTTTAGTTAAACGCAATTGATCATAGCATGCCACTGCAGAACCATCATACATGCATTTAAGCAAATATTTCCTATTCCTAATCTTGTCCTCATCATCATTAAAAGTTCCTAGGTCCCTTGGTCCCCTATTCCGTTGTGTAGTAACAAAGGCTAATGCAAGAGCACATGTTTCAACAAACAATTTAGTGAGAACAATTCTTTTCCTCTTCCGTCTTTTATTTTCTTCATTTATCCACTCAACCAACTCCAACTGATTCGACATTGAGCTGTACAATTTGATTATCTAGGATGTAAAACATTGCAGCAAGACATCACATGCACAGATGCATAGAAAACATAGGGGATTTCTGCCATATACCTTCACTTGGCCTGCAGATTGACGCACAGTTCACAGATCTGCACAATATATAAACAATAAAAATTAGTTAACAGAGAAGAGAAAGGGAATGAACAAGTTACATGTACAAGACTGGACAAAGTAAATCCTGCTGCTGCCTGAGTGACTGTGTCCAGAGGGAGAAGGTAGAGGACGAGGCCGACTGGCCAGAGGGAGAAGGAAGAGCACCAGGCGGATTCGCCAGAGGAGACCTGCGCCTCCGCGACCGAGCCCTGGTGGTGGCTGTCGTGGTCCTGCTGTGCCCACCGTGGTCCTGGTGGTTGGGGAAGTGGATAACGGGAGGAGGGAACGAGAAAGAGGTGGAGTGGAGAACCGGCGCCTCCGCCGCCGCGGTCTTGCTGCGGCCGCCACCGAGGTCCTCATGGTGGCCCGCGAGATGCGGACGGGGATGGGAACGAGAGGAAGGAGCGGGGAAGGAGAGGGGAAAAGGAGGATGCAGTGGGGCCGAATCGGACCTCGGTGCAGCCACGGAGATCCGTGGGACTCGCCGCCGAGCTCCCTGGTGGTGGCGGGCGAGCTCCCTGGTGGTCGCCGCTGTTCCTCCCCTTCTTTCCTTTTTGCCCGAGGAGGGAGGGGATAAGGCAGCGAGGGGGTGTGTTTTGCGGGAACGGCCAATTCGGACCAAATCGGAGCGCCAAGGCTCTGTATTGTGGAACGTAGGTTTGGTGGGAGGGAATACAACGCTGAATTTGGGTCTCGTTTCCAAGCGACAATTCAGACTGCAGCCAAACAGCTGAATTGCAATTTGGAGAATACCAATTCCATTTCAGGCATCTCAATTGGGACATCCAAACGCAGTGTAAGCAATTTCAGGGTTTGAGCCCTTCCAAGCGAAATGGCCGTCAAACGACCAATTCAGCTGTGGTCACTAAGAGAAGGTCATAAGTTGAGATATTTCTTGTAGTGGTTCGACTACATCAACCGTGTTACTAAACGTTTCCGCTTTCGGTCTACAAGGGTACGTGGACACACTCTCTCCTCTGGTTGCTATGCATCTTCTAGATAGATCTTGCGTGATCATAGGATGTTTTTTGAAATACTGCGTTCCCCAACATTACCTGCGTAGGTCTCTAGATCATGTTGTGCGGGCCCTTAAATTGGACAACACATATTACGGTCACCGCAGATAAACAACTTAGTAAACAATCATAAAACTATAACCATGAATGATGACATACAAAATGGAAACAAATGAATCTTGCCAATCACCTAAATCTCCCATGCCTAGGGGGAATAGCACATGCATATATAGGGGGAATCAGTAAACATCTCAAAGAATAATTTAAGAGAAATCATATCAATAATATCATGAAGATCCACAATAAGATGAACGATTAAACAAGTCTCAATCTCAAGATGGAATTCCTCTCCCTATGGTGATGATGTGATGAATGAGAATGGAGACGAGGAAACGAGAAGGAATGGATCTCTGGTGAGTCTTCATCTCTGGATCTCTTCTTCCTCTATTTTGGATGGTGCTGTGGCGGCTATGTCTCTCTAATGCGTCCTCACCTTCACGATAGTTATTCCTGTAGATGAGGGGGAGCTAGCAGTGCCTGTACGAGCGCTTGAGCTCGTACCAGAGGCCGTCTTGCGCTCTGGATGTGCTTGTGCAAATTTGTCCGACACAGAAGTTGCTCCATTTGGCTTCAGTTGATGGGATCTCAATTGGTTTTATTCCAAAGTATATTTTTCTGCACAACAATGGAAAAAACAATTTTCTTCTTCCTCGAAGGGTTAACGTTAGAAAGATGCGAGAAATATCAAAAACCCGGTGAAAATCATATCGAAACCCTCTACTAAAAGTGGCAAAATCACGAGCCATCAGCTGGCGGCGGCGGTGTGCGGGTTGGCTCCCGACCAGGCCAATCCGACTCTGTCTCTCGTGGCCGGTGTATGGCGGGATGGTGTGATGGCAGCCTGACGTGGTCGTCATTCTAGGTGGCGGGCATGAGGGTTGTGCATGGGCGCATGCGTGAGCTGTGATGAATGTGTGGCTTCGGCAGACTACTTCCCCTGGCTGCGGGCATGTGGAGGCGGGACTGATACGTCTCCAATGTATCTATAATTTATGAATTATTCATGCCATGTTTACTGATACGTCCATTTTGCATCATGCTTTTATATTGATATGTATTGCATTATGGGTTGTTATTACACATTATATCACAATACTTATGCATTTTGTCTCTTATTTTATAAGGTTTACATGAAGAGAGAGAATGTCGGCAGCTGGAATTCTGGACTGGAAAAGGAGCAAATATTAAAGACCTATTCTACACAACTCCAAAAGTCCTGAAACTTCACGGAGAATTATTTTAGAATATATAAAAAATATTGGGCGAAGAAAGCACTAGAGGGGGGCCACCAGCCATCCACAAGGGTGGGGGCGCGCTCCCCCTATCTTGTGGGCCCCTGGCAGGTCTCCCGTGCCCATCTTCTACTATATGGTGTGTTTTGACTTGTAAAAAATCAGAAGGAAGCTTTCGACATGAAGTGCCACCATCTCGAGGCAGAACCTGCGCAGAACCAATCTAGGGCTCCGGCAAAGCTGTTCTGCCGGGGAAACTTCCCTCTGGGAGGAGGAAATCATTGTCATTGTCATCACCAACGATCCTCTCATCGAGAGGGGGTCAATATCCTTCAACATCTTCACCAGCACCATCTCCTCTCAAACCCTGTTCATCTCTTGTATCCGATCTTTATCTCAAAACCTCAGATTGGTACATGTGGGTTGCTAGTAGTGTTGATTACTCCTTATAGTTGATGCTAGTTGGTTTATTCGGTGGAAGATCATATGTTTAGATCCTTAATGATAATTAATACTCCTCTGATTATGAATATGAATATACTTTTTGAGTAGTTACATTTGTTCCTGAGGACATGTGAGAAGTCTTGTTATAAGTAATCATGTGAATTTGACATTCGTTCGATATTTTGGTGAGATGTATGTTGTCTCTCATCTAGTGATGTTATGTGAACATCGACTACATGACACTCCGCCATTGTTTGGGCCTAGGGGAAGACATTGGGAAGTAATAAGTAGATTATGGATTGCTAGAGTGACAAAAACTTAAACCCTAGTTTATGCGTTGCTTCGTAAGGGGCTGATTTGGATCCATATGTTTCATGATATGGTTAGATTTATCTTAATTCTTCTTTCGTAGTTGCGGATGCTTGCTAGAGGAGTTAATTATAAGTGGGAGGCTTGTCCAAGAAAGGAAAGCACCCAAACACCGGTCCACCCACATATCAAATTAGCAAAGTAACGTACGCGAATCATATGAGCATGATGAAAACTAGCTTGACAGTAATTCCCATGTGTCCTCTGAAGCGCTTTGCATTATATAAGAGTTCGTTCAGACTTGTCCTTTTCTACAGAAAGGATTGGGCCACCTTGCTACACCTTAGTTACTTTTGTTACTTGTTACCCGTTACAAATTATCTTATCACACAACTATTTGTTACCGATAATTTCAGTGCTTGTAGAGAATGCCTTGCTGAAAACCGATTGTCATTTCCTTCTGGTCCTCGTTGGGTTCGACACTCTTATCGAAAGGACTATGATAAATCCCATATACTTATGAGTCATCATTTACAACAATTTTATATGGTTTGGGTGCAATTTTATATGATTTAAATGAAACTAACCCGGACCGACATTGTTTTCAGCAGAACTACCGTTGTATTGTTTTTACGCATAAATAAAATTTCTCCAAATGCAAAGAAACTTTTTGACGACTTTTTTGAAGGAAAGAGACACTAGAAGTTTTGTGGGAGGGCCAGAAGAGCCACAGGGGCCCCACAAGCCACATGGGCGCGCCCTGGTGCCTCATGGCCCCCCTGTGGCACCTCTTTGCGTGAGACCGACGCCAACAATTCTTATATATTCAGAAATCCCTGAAAGTTAACCTAGAACTTCGACTCCGCCGCCGTAAGCCTCTGTACCTTCAAAATACCATCCGGAGCCCTGTTCCGGCACCCCACTGGAGGGGGGAATCATCACCGGATGCCATCTTCATTATCTCGGTGGTCTCCATGACGCGGAGGGAGTAGTTCGCCCTCGAGGCTAGGGGTATGTACCAGTAGCTATGCATTTGATCTCTCTTTCTCTCTCTCTCTCTCTCTCATTCTTGATTTGACATGATTTTGATGTACCACGAGCTTTGTTAATACGCACATACATACGCACGCACACCTCAAAACATGGTAGTACAAAAGAAGACACTCATACATACGCACATACTACACTTCAAGTTGGCAGTTAATGTAGACTTTATTTGATCGGATGGCGTGAGCGTGATTCAAAGGGCGATACAAGTTAACGCTCACTTTCCTTTTCTAGTATGTATACTACATTTAGGAGTAGAAAATACAGCTTGAGACATTAGTACACGTATGCAATACATATAGCTTACAAACAGGTACAAGGTGGCAATTAAAGGCTAGTCCTATATTGGCTAATTACGCAAGGCCAACACGCGGGATTCTTGCAGTAACAAGATACTGGTAGAAAAAGCACATAATATGGCTGATCTTCGACCGATCTAGCTAAACCTGGCCGACCATCTTGCCGGTCTTCGTCGACCCCGCCGCACCGCGATCGTCGCTATCGGCGACCTTGCCGTTCCTGCCGTCGACGGACATCTCCACGTCGTCGCCCTGTAGCTTGCCAGCGCCGGCCGCGGCGTTGCCCTTGTTGTTCCGGTAGATGGCGTAGAGGATGAGCTGCGCGGCGCCCAGGACGCTCCCGCACCCGTTGGGGATCTGCCAAAGAAGATCAGAGCGTCAATCGAACGGCCAAGCACGTCTGCAGAAGCAGTGACTGGCTAGGCGGTAGCTAAGGCATGTTTCATGGCGACGGTCGCGCGCGCATGGGCGCTGCCTCGCCTCTTCGGCAGGGCACATTTACTGGAGCACGTTGCGAGCTCAGCTAGCGTACGTGCATGCATGCATGGATCGCACATTGACAAATCAAAACAAGTATTCATGCACCGGCCGGCCGGCAAGGGCATCTACTAGACTACTAGACTACAATGACAACGCAGTTAGTGCAGTCATTTTGTCCACTCACAGTTTCCTTCAATTTTGTGCAGTAATTCGACGCTTGTCGGCATCAGAAAAGAGAAAGTTGGATTTGAGGTGTGCGTGCGTGTGTGGACTAATAAGACTTACCGTGACGAAGAGGTCGTGGCCGAGCAAGCCGTAGATGAACCACGACGTGCCGCACAGGAACACCGCCAGCGACAGCAGGAACGGCATGTACTCCACGCTCTTCGTCTTGATCACCATCCTCTGCGAGAAATCGACAAGTCCCAGATCAGTATTATTTAAGCTACTAACATGTGCAAGTGCAAGGCAATGGAGGAATACATGCACGCATGCATGGAATAACAAAACGTACCATGATGGAGAGGGGCGAGGCGTACATGCAGATGGAGAAGACGGTCATGGCGAGGCCGGCGAGGAGCTTGCGTGCCGGGCCGTGCAGGACGAGCATCGAGACGAGCGCCACGACCGCGAACACCGTCGCGACGGCCGACGCCAGGCCGAGCGTCCGGAGCCTCGCCTTCTTGTTCGACGCGAAGACGAGGAAGATCACCACGTACACCGTCTCGATCGCCGCGCCCACGCCGTTGATCGTCGACACCAGGACGTTGTTCGGGGACACGAACGGCAGCCCGTACCTTCAAACGCACACCAACGCGCCAAGATCAAACTCTCTCACTTGTAACTCGTCGAACTTTTGCACCATGCATCAACAAGATCGGAACGGGACAAGGATAGTTTATGCACTTGTGTCGGCCTTAATAGCTACGTGTACAACGGCATGTCTCCGCATAGAGCCACGTTGCAGAAGCGTACAACAATGAAGTGAGGGTGGCAGATTCTATAAAAATAGGCAAGAGATGAGATGGATCTTCAGCCTCGTAAATCACAATCACATGTTGTACTGTTGTTAACTTGTTCTCTTTTTTCTTTCTTTTTTTTTGCGGGAATTTGTTAACTTGTCCTTGGAGAAAATTGAGAGGTTTTACCAGGCGGAGAGGAGGCAGTTGAGGAGCGTCATGTTGTATGGCACCCCGGAGAATTCCTCTGTGGATTTGTTCCGAATGATCCTCCAGAAAGTAGGCCTGTGATCGAACGGACAAATTGTAGTATTCACAGGTCAGTTATAAGTGTCTGCATATAGTATAAGAATGTGAACAGACTAACAGTCAAGATGCGACTGTACGTTCTCAACAAAATGAATAAAATGTTGTAGGAAATTCGACACTGAAAAGGACTTATGTGGAATTAATAAATCGGAAGGTGGCAATATATACATGCAAAGGTGGGTGCCGGAAGTTTCTAGTTTACGTACGTTGCTGGAGTAAATTAAGTGGGATCAATATATGCATGGACCCTAGAAATTCAAGCTCTTTTTCAGCAAATTATAGGTTATTTATTACTATAATTTTATATCAAATTATTAGTAGTTGAGTACCCCAATGGTTGTGCGTGTCATTCATGTGGTTTGCAAATTCGGAGTGTGCGATTTCAACTGAGAAATTCCTTCTTTTTAAAGGAGGTAAAATGTCCGGTGTCTGCATCAATTGATGCACGCAACCATCAAATAGTTTAAATTCTTTCATGAAAAGCATAGGATTCCCTAACACACTGCTATCTTGTCACCTTCACTCTAACCATATATCTCTTGTAAATATAGGAGCGCTACCTAATTATTTAGGCCTTCTTTGGTTTAGAGAAATTTCATAGGAATTCTAGAGAATAGGATTTTTATAGGATTTTTTTTCTTTAGAGCCTTTTGGTTCATAGGAATGGATTCCTATTCCTACATAGGATTGGTTCCTATCCTCCACATTTCATAGGAAAATAAAAAAAAGCCTAGACTCAATGAAAAAATTCCTTTGGTGTCAACCAAATGACATCTTGTTTCCTATTCCTACTCATAGGATTTGAGATACATGTCATCTCCTTTCCTACAAGATTTCTATTCCTATAATAATCGGATTATCCTATGAACCAAAAGAGGCTTTAATAAGGAAAAAAGGTAATACATGAAATACTTACACCGGGGATAGGAAGAGAAATAGAGCAATGACATTCCCTGAAACAACAAAATCAAAAGCAGTAATTAGGTTGAAAGGACGTCCCAACTAGAACAGCCACCAGTGCAATTAAAACTCCTAGCCAATTACTACCACGCACAAAAAAGCGGAAACTAGGAACACTCACCGGAAATCCCAAACAAGAACTTGGCCACATCCTCCATGTCCGACCTCCTCAGCGCCTAGCTTGCACCTCCAAGAAACTATCTTCTCCTCGACGAACCAATAACAAAACCAGGATGAAAAGACAGACCTCCAGACCTCTGTTTCTTCTGAGCAGGGGATGCTAGCATGCAGGTATTTCAGCAGCAGCAAGCAAGAACAACTAAATGACAATGTTGTGTGTGTTCGTATGTGTGGATGATGGATACATGGGCGGCTGCATCGTATATATAGGAAAGAGTTGGATGGAGAGGAGGTAAGGTCAGGGGGGAGAGTAGCACTGCCGGCCTATTGATTACGTTCTTATCTTGGCCACTCCATGAAAACGATGCCCCTGTGGACGTGGGAGTGCCGGGGTAGTAAACAGTAACGTTTCCAGCACTAGCATATGGGGAGGATCTTGTTTTGATTGTCACCACCCGGAGACAGAATTTGGCATGCGCATCACCATCATGGTATCGCCCGGTGCACTAGCTAATTGGACTGGACACTATTGACATTTGACAAGAATGTACGTATGTGTTTTCTGTGCTAGTAGCTCTTTTCCTTCAGTGTGTGTGGTCTGTATAGATCGTCCACATTATATTCATGCATCTGGAAGGATCTTAAGACTTTTGCCATACCCTTTTTCCGAAAAGAAAGCAAGAGTCAAATATTGCTAGCTAACAACGTTACCCGGGTCGGAGGGTGCTCCAGAGATCCAGAGGAGGCACTGAGCCAGTGAATTCAGGATGAAGACGTCGTCGATACATCCAACGACGTGTGTTTATTTTCTGCTTGCGTAAGGATGGTCTTGTAAGGATTGAATAATTTTAATATATGTCCTTGGCCTTGTCGCAAATATATATATTATTTAGCGAGCAACCAAATGGCCCTAAAACCTATATAAAAGAATATTTCCAATCGCAACAATAACAATAAGGATGCAAATGTTTTAGTTCAACATATGCCCATACAATCTCATAGAAAAAGAGTCATTTTCTGCATCGTAGGAAACAATGCCGCCACCCCTTTCAAAATTATGATGCTTAGTATAGTCTCCGATGAACAAATTCGTCTGTCAATATTTGTAGGAATATCCAAGTAAGTAATTATGCAGCATAATATAGTAAAACTATTTTCTCCAACAAATAAAATATTGCAATTTATAACTTACAAATTCGAATCATTTTTATTAATTAGTGATCATAGCGGAGATCGATTGTATTTCTAGTATGTCTTGTATTATGAAACAAAGTTAATAATGCTCTAAAATGTAGTTATTTTTTAGGGCACAAAAGCCCTTTCCTAGATTCGTCATGGCTTGACATGGCGGAGACCAAAAGACGTCGGTCGATAGCAAAGAAGAAAACATGGAGTGTCAGCAAGGCTTCATACAATGACTAGTGCATTCGACTGTTAAATTTTGGCGAGGGGCTCACGGTGGATCACTTAACACGATTACATGATATCCATATACAGAGCGACACCCCCACGCCATTGGGGGTAATTCTTGGTTTCAAGGGAATACTCATGGGCGCCAATGTATCCGGCTCAATATTTTGGGTGCGACATCAATAAATATGAAAATGTTAGTTTGCAACGTGTGGGCACCCACTAACGTGAAAACTTTTTTGCATGGTTTGCAATTCAAAACCATCTATGGACCACCCAACCATCTTCAAAGACATGGACGGCTGAATCGTGGCCTTTAATTTATCCATTATGCAAAATATGTTCAAAAGTTGGCTACCCACTTATTTTTCATTAAAAATGTAGTTTTTTGCTCCACCTCAGGTCTTTAAAACCTAATATGGTTAATCGACCTTGATACAGTATCAACTAGCAAAGGAAAATTCAGTTCTAGATTAGTGGACGAATATCATGGCAAACACATACCACCATAGAAAAGCGACCCCCTCCCCCTCCCTAGTATTGTCGAAGATATGGAATTAGAGAAATGTACCAGTGTTTCATGGAACCTCGACCTTGCAGCTACATCCTTCCACATATAGAGGGTGAAGCCTTCATGTGATCCATGAAAGTTTTAGGAGAATGTTTTATATTTATAGTCTGGTCCAAACATTTTGTAGGACTTATTTTCAATGGACGGCAAATTTATTTATCTTGATTTCATCAATTTCAAGATGTTATGCCGGCCTAGTATCTCAAAGGTGTTGGTAGTGGCTGGGTGTGTGAGCATATGTGATTGTATTGTATTAAGAAAAAAGGAACCTCTACACATATATTTTGTATCATTGTTTTTTGTATTCAACATGTAGAAGATCATGTCACTGACACTGAGTATGTATATGCCTCCGTTTTAAAAAAAATGTATGTATATGGCGCCTGTCATAGGTGTACGTTTTACTCGAAGCAGTTCCCAAGGACAGCGACTAGGCTTTAGGCTCCACGCTGCTATGCAAGGTCCTTGTACGTACGTACGTGGACGCCTAGTTTTTAGGCATGCATGCATGCAAACAAATGCGCTCGTTCGTCATGCAAACTTTTATCTATATTTTTGGTTTGGGGGCATGCATCATGCCAAGATCGCTTGAACTTTGTAACATATAATGGTACGCGTGTATATATATGTACGACGAAACGAATTTATTTAGTACATAACCAAAGTTGCGTTTTGCCACAGGCACCAGCTGGTAACGTCGGCGACGACTGATAAACTGGATCAAGCACAAACAAATACGTACCTCATGTGTCCGGCGTTGCAACGCTGTCAGAAATTGCCGAAGGCCACGACTATATGGTCAAACTATTATCATAGAAGTCTCGGACCAGTGCAAACTATAAGTCGGCAGGCCTAGCTAGTAACCTATGGCCGATGTTCTTTGACGTTTTGCAGTGTGATATAAAGAGAGGCGAAAGCCTGTATTTAAAGAATAGTCACACACTAAAATGCCATATACTCTGCGAACACACGTATGCATCCGCAAACTCGCCACCTGCACTCGTGACAGCAACGGCACAATATTCCCCGACCGGCCACTTTGTCAGTACCATCGAACTGGAACGTGCACGATCGACCGCCACCATGAAAATCAAATCCAGATTGAACAATCATCACGCAAATAATTGAGCGAACCAGAGTGGTCTATGGTCGATGCAGGTACGCGATCGGCATTGTCCGGATCACCAGCATCGATTGGTTTCCTTTGCTTCCCTATCGGCGCACGGCTGGCTGGCCACACCAAGAGATTCCGATCGCGTTCGGCCGTGGAGTAAGACAAGCCGGTGTGGGGAGGTGGAAATGAACCGGGGTTCGGCCTGTTGGTACGTGACAGGCGATCCTTGCACGCATAAAGTGTTTGTGGCACCGGTTTTGGCATTTAGGCCTCCTTTGGTTCATAGTATTGGAAAATTATAGGAATAGGAAAGTCATAGGAAATGAAACGACATGCATCTCAAATCCTATGCATAGGAATAGAAAAGAAGATGCCCTTTGATTCACATCATAGGATTTTTTTCCATTGAGTCTAGGCTAATGTTTATTTTCCTATGAAATGTAGAGGATAGGAAGAATTCCTCCATAGAAATAGGATTTCATTCCTACAAACCAAAGAGCTTTGAAGGAATTTTTCCTATAGAAATCCTATCCTATGAAAATCCTACAAAATTCTTCCAAACCAAAGAAGGCCTTAGCTTGGTGTCTCCTCGCCTTTGTAACGTGGCATTCCCAAAAGGAAATCCTGATAGGTTAATTTGTCGCCAACAGGACGAGCATTTTATTGGACTAGATGATGATGCCTCGCGCGCAGCTGCGAGAAATCTTGCAAAAATAAATGCATTAATATTTGCAAAAAAATCTAAAACTAATGGATGGAAAATGTAATATGAAATATATACAAAGTGTATAAAAAATTGAATTTCAATTAAGATAATAATGTTTCTAACAAAAATGTAAAAGGTCAACGACATAGATATGCTACAATCGACCAACACATGTATCCTCAATACAAATCTAATGCAAGAATAAATTGTGAATAATTATCATGCATGAATTTATGATGTGGCTACATTGCATGCATAGTGTAATGCAAAAATAGGATTTATGACTTGCATGCATGACTTGCTTATGTGGCATGGTTGCATGGCTAGGAAAAATAGATAGCGGGTTGTAGCTATTGAGGAATAGAAGGTGAGTACATGTTCTCACTTTAATTTAAAGAAAAACTAGTATTACAAAAAATAAAACTGGCTCGTGTAGTTCATATTAGCTTGAACTAATGAGTATTTGTTTGTAGTCTACATAAAAGGGGCAAGAATAAAGAGCTAAATATGCACTCCATGTGCTTTAAACATGCATGATTTTATAGCAATTCCACGAGAATCCAACATCTGCAATTTTGCGATGCATTTATTTTTCTGGAAAACTCCATATATTTCCTTCCATGTAAGAAGTTCAATACAAGTTTCGTAGACAAGTTCCTTTATTGGAATTAACTTTGTTGCTTAAGTTGCAAAGAATATGGGTCAATTTGAAGTTGCTAAATTTTGTTGTCCTAGACTTATTTCTGTCTCCAATTTTTGCCCGGTAGATATACATTTCTGGAAGACTTCCCAATTTAAATTGCCTTGACACATCTTGCTGACATGTAAGATCCACATGACGGTTGACTAGGCACCAAAAGAAGTCATATTTGTATGTAATATTATCCACAGAAATTGCTAATGGAGCTCGAGCTCCATGGAGCCTGAAATTTGATATTTTTCAAAGTTATAATTTTAAGGCTTCAAAAAATTCTAAAAAATGCACACATACCTATGGATTTATACCATTTGGCTGTAAAATACACAAATGTGCGAGCTAGGCAATACTAACAAAATCATGTATTTCTAGCACATGTACTATTCTCTATAGAAGTACATGATTTTTTTTGTACAACTCACATGAAAACTTACTTCATAATGAAATTTTACACACATCTAGTATACATCTATAAGTACTTGTGTATATTCTCAGATGTTTCTGAAACTTAGAAGGTCAATTTTTAATAAAATTCGGGCT